CCCCCCTACGCCATTGTTGCCAAAACTTGGCCATTTAAAGATAAGTGGATTTCACCCCCCAGAATCCCCCACCCACAATTCTGGGAGTTGAAGTCCACTTATCTTAAAGTGGCCAAGTTTGGACAACACTGGCTTAGGGGATGGGGGAACTGCAGAAAAGAATGTCAGAAGATTGCTACATTGCGATATAAGAACAAAGAGAGAAAAAGGAGCGAGGCCACAGAAGGTGTTCAGGATGAGGGTACAAGGTTTCTTGGGCAGAACCCAGAAGTGGATAGGTAGCTAATACATGGATTTAAGGAGATAAATCACATGGTCATAATGAAGCAAATGATGTGGACAGCAAACAATAGCATGCTGGATAGATATAAGCACAGAAAGATGACATAATGGAAGATGACAGAGAAGACTGCAGTTGTTGAGATGAGAGAGAAGCAAGCATTTTCACTGAAGTGGCAGAGGAAGAACCAGAGCTTTGTAATGTGGTATAACAAATTTCCCCAGCTTGATGCCCTTTAAAGTTCTGGATTTCAACTTCCATGAGCCTCAGGCAGCATGACTTTTGGCTGCACTGCCTTTGGCCACTGGCCAGAATTTGTCAGGGGCCACTGAGTTGGATTTGACTCATGACTCATTTACGTGGACAAATACTCACCGTCTTCACCCATCTCTAGAACTCATAGTTCTTACAAAGCTATTCTCATAGTCTCTTTGCTTACTGTCCGTCTACTTCATCTGCTGTCTTCCTTCTATTCTACTTCCCTCAACCTTGCCATGCATAATCTATTTTCCTAGTCTATCATCCATTCATGTGCCCAAAGCATGTGAGTTTCTGCTTCCTGATCATAGGCTTAAGGGAGCAGTTATTTGATCGAGAACTGATTGCTTGGTTGGTTGGTTGCTTAATCAAGAACCAAACTCTGATAGAAGAGTATAAACATACCTGTGATGAAGGAATTCAAGAACTACTAAGAGAAAGTAAATAGCACTTTGGTCCTGGGAAAGGAGAAGGCATGAGCAAGAAACTCAAAATAGCCCTACCTTGATTCTCTTTGGCATAAGACAGGGCAGAGGGATATTTTGGCAGGCTTTCAAGATGCCCTGCAACAGTAAGGTAGCATTCCTGAATCCCTTCCTCTGCCTGTTTCCTGACCTGGCCTACCTCAAGGGCTGACACTTCCTTTCTTCTATCTCTTTCCCCCTCTTCCCCCTCTGCATACCAAAAGCCTTCCATAACAACTAAGTTTTTGAGTAGCACATAGGTGCATTAATTAGGTTCAACAACACTAAACTATTGAATTCAATGGAGATGAATCCTCAGGTTAACAAGGAGGTTAATTCAGAGTTAACCATTGACTTCCCATGCAGTAGGCCAAATGCAAGATGCAGTAGAGTTTCCAAGCTATACACAAAACCAAACCAACTCTTCCTTCTCCCTTGCAAATATGTTCACTGTAATTTGCCTTAGGATAGAGTTTCATGTAGAAGTTCTCACTCTCTTCCAGGCTCCCTCCTTCTTGGTTAGACCTCCAATCTACTTCTCTCAGCTTCTGCTCTCCTTGACTCTCCAAGCAGGATTCTCCCCACATCAAATCCACTGAGTGTCAAGCTCCACATAGCTGGCAAGACCAAGGAAGCAAAAATGCCACAATTTCAGTAAATATTTTAATGCTAGTCTGGGATGAATACAGAATCTTGGAAACTGTCATAGGAATTTCTCAGCCTCAGTAATAGGGAATTAAGGTGGAGTCTCTTTGAGGCACTTTTTCCCTGATCGCTCACCACTTGGGCCAATTTTCCTTTTTTTGAGATCATCTTTTGACTGACTCACCCCCCATTCTCCCACAGACTCTGATATCAGATGACTCTCTCAAAAGCTGAAACTTCCAGCTTCTCCACATTGGCTGGCCAACCAACCAACCATTGTTCCAGAGTTCTTTACCCAAAGCTTTGTGTTTCTCTGTTCACCTCTTGTTCATGAGGTACATTTCAGCAAAGGGGGCTCCTCACTTTGCTGGTGCCAAACATTATTTTCTTCTTCCCCTCTTCCTCCTTCCACCTCCCCATCTTCAAAGTTGGGATCCTGTTTATGTTTCTGAACTTGCTCTCTGTGTCCTCCCCAAAGCAGTTTCTTTTCCTTCCGTTCTGTCCTGCTATATGATCTTTAGGGGCTAGTTAAATTATAACCTGAAGCCAGCAGGCCTCACAGGATGGGCAATCCAGCTCTTAGTTCTTATTTCTTCTATCATTTATTTGTTTATCAGTTCCATTTATATGGTAATGCAACTTGGGCAGCTAAACAACAAAGTCATTAAACAAAATTATTGTGCCCAAAGCCACTCACATATGTACTGATCAATCCTTTAAAAATAGGCTCACTAACACCCTGTCCCAATGACTGAGAAGAACCAGGTCTTCCAACACCTTACAAAAGAATAGCAAAGTCAGAGCCCTTCAGATTGCAGAGGATATGGAGGAAAAGAGAAGGCACTTCTCCCTACAGTTCAGCTATTTATCTTAACAACTTTAATATTTTGTGCCTTGCACCAATTTTATTGCAACCACTGAATTACATCTGTATATCTCAAACTATTAGTGTTTTGACTTCTGGGAATTATGGGAGTCGAACTCTAACTTGTGTGGTCGCCATCAGGTTGGAGAAGAGTGATCTTGGGCTACCAGCTTACCAAACATTAAGAACAAGTATATCCCAGCAAGATTCCACTCCTTCAGCTTGGAACTCGTAACTAGGTGAGACCCATGGATTCTTGGTCAATGTCAAAGCTACACACTTTCATTATATTATTATAACCCAACAGTGGATTATGCTCCTACCCAATAATCACCCTTAGAAATAATATTATTTTAACAAGGCAAAATGTAGAAAACAAGTCCAGTCTTTGGGCTACATAAATCTACTATTACATTTATAAACAAAACATTCTGTTTCTCAGTCATTGCTCCTCCTTTACTCATTCTGTGTCATATCATTCTTTTCTTTTTCCATGTTAAAATAAAATATGAGAAGGAAAAAGGTACACAATTGTGCTACCTTTCTCCATTCTGTTATCCACAATCACTTCCAGAATACAACATTCTGTTACTGAAAAAGTCAACTATAAGACCAATTTGGATGATCCACTAGCCAGGTTCAGATTTTCTTGCACTTCAAGGAGCTCAAAAACCCATAAAATCCTGATATCTTTCAGGACTTGAGATGCCTCCAAAGCCCCATCGGTACTTAAATCCTTAATCTCAGTTTCTCATCTAAGCTGCTAGCTGTACTGTAGAAACAAAAGCAGTTGACAATGTTGAAGGTAAATATTATTGTCTTGCCTGTCACCAAGGAAAGAGGACACTCCTACATTCCAGCAATAACCTCTCCAGAAATCAGGGGAGAAACCAACGTTCCTTCCAATATCTTACATGCTATGGTCTTTCTTCTCGAGGAGAGGTGGAAAGTCATCCTCCTCCTCATGCTGAAAAAAGTGGATAATCAGGGTTCTGCCACATTTGTAGGTTCCCTGGAAGCACCTAGTTGTTAATACTTAGAAAAATACTAGATTAGGTGAACCAGCAGGGGTTTATCATGACCTTATGTCAGATGCTAAACCCCACTGCAAGTTTTACATCTTGAAAGGTTCCAAGTATATGCATGGAGGAGATTTGTGCTCTCAGATGTTTGTCAGAAGTGTGTGGAAAAGTAATTGGTCATTTGACCTGCTCATCTTCTCCCCTATGTGAACAGTGCCTAGCACTGAAATTGCGCCAGTGGAGAAGGGAAAATTGTCTTGTTCTGCTTGGAAATATTTGTCCTGTGATGTCCATCAGTGCTGGTTGAAAAGATGAGCCAGGGCCGTAGAAGGGTGATGAGATCAGAGCTGGAGGAACACCAATCCCTTTCCAACCCACACCACTGCTCTGGTGGCACTATTATCCTCTGCCTTGGGAAGCCAACCAACCCATCACTGTGGTGTCCACTGAAGTTGGGGTCACACCCTCCTCTGTCTCCTACAATCTCTGGGGCTGAACCTAGCTCAAAGCCTCATTCATTCCAGATTTTGGCAAAACTCTGCCGCCTAATGTAGCCTCAATTCTACCCACTTGAGAATAACACAAGTCAAGGTTTCTGGTCAGAAGATTATCTACCAGGCAACCAGCATCTGCCCTCAGCTTCCCAGTCCTTTCCCTCTCTCGCTTGCCACCCCTCCCCTTTCCCAAGAAGGGCAGGGCTCTTTCGCCTGTCTCCGTGGGAACAAGTAGCTTCTCCCACCCCCGCCCCCAAAGACTGGTCTTCTTCTGTTAGCCAACGCCTCTCTTGCCCCACCTCCCCACCCTTCTTCCTCCCCATCTCGCCCCGCTGGCGGCGTCGAGCATCTCCTCGTCATCTTCCTCCGTTTCCCTCCCTTCCCTTCATAAGCGGGTCTCTGTCCCTGGTCCCCACTTCCCCCGGCGCCCAGCGCGCTCCGTCTCCCCGTGCGCCCAGCCCAGCCCAGCCCGGCCGGACTGTCTCCATGGCCGCAGGCGACTACCGGTGCAACCAGACCGTGCGGCTCGAAGCGGGCCAGTCGGTGCTGCCCAGCTCGTTACTCTTCGCGGCGGGGCTGCTGGGCAACGTGCTGGCGCTGGGGCTCCTGTGGCAGCACCACCTGAAGGCGAAGTTGCAGCGCGGCGAAGGGCGTCCGCGGGCGTCCGCCTTCTACCTCCTGGTGAGCGCCCTGACCGCGACGGACTTGCTGGGCAAGTGCTTGCTGAGCCCCATCGTGCTGGCCGCCTATGCGCACAACCGCAGCCTCCTCGACCTGTGGCCGCCCGCCGCAGCCACCGAAGTCAGCCACCCCGGCGAGGAACCGCTGCGCTCCTCCGGCAAGCTGTGTCAGCTGTTCGCCTTCCTCATGGCTTTCTTCGGCCTAGCGTCCACCATGCTGCTGCTGGCCATGGCCCTGGAGTGCTGGCTCTCGCTCGGCCACCCTTACTTCTACGAACGCCACGCCAGCAGGCGCTGGGGCGCGCTGCTGACCGGCGCGGCGGCCGCCCTGTGCGCTCTCTTCTGCGCGCTGCCGTTCCTGGGCTTCGGCAGCAACGTTCAGTACTGCCCGGGCACGTGGTGCTTCATTCGCATGGCCGGCGGGGGACGGATCTATTCGGTGCTCTACGCCAGCCTGCTGGGCGTGCTGGTGCTCGCCGTCGGCCTGTGCAATCTGGGCAGCATGAGGAGTCTCTACCGGATGGCGCGCCGCCAGCCCCCGCGCAGGACCCACCTGACGGATCTGCAGGGCGCAGCTGCGCCTCTCCGGCCCCCTTGCGCCAGGCGCACCGAGGAGCTGGGCCAGTTAGTGTTGCTGGCGCTCATGACCGCCCTTTTCACCATCTGCTCCCTGCCGGTGATCGTAAGTAGCTCTTCGTGGGGCAATGGGAGGGGGCGGACGAGACGGAGAACCGTTCCCAGTTAGGCTTCGGCGCCCTCGGTGTGCCGCGCAATGCGCTTGCTGACATCTGTCCGGAGCCCCTGAACCGCCCGGTCGGTGCCGACGACGCCTTTCTCCCCTCGGGACGCAGTTTAACTACCCGAAAAAAATACGAGGAAGGAGGAAAAAGCTCGGAGGGAAAGCGAGCGCCTCCTTTGCCTTCAGAAGTTTCTGTTGGACCTCGCTCTCTCCGCGTGCGGCTGGGAAAGTCTGCTTGAAATCCTGGAGAGGCGCTCGTGGTCCATACCGATAGCGCAGTAGATGAACCCGTGTTCTGCCTCATCCTGGCTCGGTTTGGTTCTGTTAGTGGTATCTGTGGGGGAGGGGGGCAGTGATGTCCCTTACTCTCTTGTGCGGTGAGATGGTTGGGCTGCTTCTGGGCATCTGGCTGGCTTGTGGTGCAAGATATTTTGTTTCCCTAGACCAGTGCTTCTCAACCTTGACCGCTTGAAGATGTGTTGAAGTCCACACATCTTCAAGTGGTCAAGGTTGAGAAGCACTGCCCTAGACCCACAAATCTTCCTTCAAGTCAGGATATATAGTCCCCAAAATTGGTCAAACCATTTTTGACCACTGGAGGCAGAGTATTCCACAAGCACCTATTACACTTCCCTAGAAATAAAAATGCAGTGTTTTCACCAAAAGACAACATCAGCTACTTGGGGGAAGTCCTTCTACCTAACATTGCTGTGTAAAGCAACATATTTTGCCTGTGAATTGTTTAGCTCTAATCTTGTTTTATGTGTCTGAACCATTTGTACACCTTCTTTTCCTTCCTCTGAAGTCCCACCCTAATGCATAATCAGAATTAACAAAAAAAACCCCACATCACATGAATAAGTAGGTGGTGAATAGCAGAGGAGTCATAACAGGATGGAGTCATTTTAGAAAGGAGCCCAAAAGAGGTTACTCACCTACTTCTCAGAATCAGAAAATTTGAATGAGATTAAGGGGGGGGGGTTCTTTAACATGAAAATAACAATCACTTCCCTCCTCCATGTAAAAGGGAAAGAAAGCCCTACTTCTTTTCTTTTTTGTAAGAGTTTGACCTTTATTTCATCTGCAGATTTAACCACAAGGGAGAAGTTGTTGAAGAAATGTGCATGATACTTTTTCTTTGGTTAGCTTGCACATACCCATAGTCCATTTCTATCTAATTCCAGGTGCTTTGGGCTTTTAAGGTGATTTTAAAAATTGGATGCATAATTTTTAAATTGCCACTTACCCAATAAAGTGGATTAGAATAATGTTACAATGTAGATTTCCACTTGTAGAGTGCATTTAGGCTCCAGTCTTATGACCTGATCAGAAACTTCTTCTGAATGTTATAATTTAATATATGACTGACATTCAAAGTGAAATATTAAATTTAGGATTCAGATTTTTAACTTGCAGCTGAATTTCACTGTACAATTTCTAGGCTCTGAGCATGATTCTCAATCCAGTTATTTTCACTTCCACTAAGATTTCTCATTCTGAGGGGAAGAGGATTTATATACTCCAGGAGCAGAGAATTACTAGGGTTGATGGAGAAAACTGATTTAAATCCCTTCAGCTGTTTTCCTCTTAGCAAGTCAGAGGGACTGTCCTCCAAGTCCTAGAACTATTTGTATGGGTGCGTGCATCCTAACTCATATTGTACTCTCTAAGATTTAGCATGACGGTAAGGATGAAGAGACCAATAACTCTCTAGGACAGGGTTTCTCAACCTGGCTGGGGAATTCTGGGAGTTGAAGTCCACACGTCTTAAATTGCCAAGGTTGAGAAACCCTACTCCAGGAATTTCACCAGCAGGAAGCTATTCTGAGCAATTCAAAGAAAAGTCTGTGGCTTGCCAATATTCTTTCTTTAAATGACAAAATATCCAAGCTATGCATTTTTTTAAGCACCAGTAATGATAGAATTGTTCATCTGCATACAGCCTGCTAAGTCTCTAGAAGTCAACAGTTGTGAATTGATTAATGCCTGGAATTAGTCTGTTGAGTAAGATTGATGAGTGATAGTATATTTAAGGACTTGTTTTGGCTACTTATACACACGTGCAAACAGTTTAGAAATGCTTTGCATACCAAAGCAACCATGCCTAAAAAAATGATCAAGTTTTTTTAATCTTAGGTTTGTCTGGGGCAGGACAAAGATTATCAGATTACTTGTCCAGGCAGAGTCAACACTGATTTGAAGGCACAAAAAAATGACCCACCAGAGCAGTGTTTCTCAACCTTGGCAATTCGAAGATGTGTGAATGTGTGGACTTCAACTCCCAGAATTCCCCAGCCAGCCACTTCAACTCCCAGAGTTCCCCAGATGGCTGGGGAATGCTGGGAGTTGGAGTCCACACATCTTCAAGTTGCCAAGGTTGAGAAACACTGCACCAGAGAGCCTAGTGGAGGAGGGGCAGAGGTGGGTGCAGTAGTACCATGGCTATCCAGGAAGTGGAGATGGCACTGCAGGTGGACGAAGAGGGGCAGCACTGTCCATCGCTGGGCCAGTCTTCCCTGGCCATAGCCAGCACTTTGGATAGGAGTCTGGTGGTAAGAGCAAGAACGTGACAAGCCTTCTTCCTGCAGGGCATTAAAAGGAAAGGTGTTGGGGGAACTGGCTGACCTATTTGCCTCCTGCTCAAGGATGGGAGAACACATTAACAGGGCTGTGAGGAATGTATCATGTATCAAAAGGAAAAGTATCATGCACATTTGCCTCCGAAGGGCATGCTTCGGACCCCCTCAGTGAAGAACTTCGACTGGCGGGGTCCAGAAGGCGGGCCTTCTCTCCGGTAGCCCCCGCTCTTTGGAAC